ATTTACTCCTACTAACCGGAAAATAAACGCCAATCCGCTGTTTGGGGTTTCATGAGGAGGAAAAATCAACAAAAGTGATCCGTTCTCGAGGTGTGTCAAAGAAAATGATCGCAACTTTTGTGTCAAAATGTGGTCATGTGCCACAATTGCCTTAGGATATCGAAGAACGGTTACTTCTGATTAGTATATAACCGTTTGTTTACCAGAAGTTATCGCCAAACTCCTACATCAGAACGGCGAATCATCCTACATCAGGACAATTTACGTGCTCACACTGTCCATAAGACAATAGAGTTTTTGGAGCTTCAAAACATCGAATTGTTAAACCATCCACCGTATAGCCCCGACCCAAGTCCCAAAAATTTCTTCATGTTCCCAAAAATAAAAAATTCAATGCGAGGGCAGCGATTCTAGTCGTCAGAAGAGGCCATCGATGCCTTTAAAACAGCGATTTTGCAGGTTTGAACGTAAGCAAAAATGTATCGATCTTGGTGCGACATATTTTGAAAAGCAATAAAGTACTTCTAAGTCTAGTAAGTCTATATCATTTTTGCTTTTTGGCTATATGCAACACTAAAAAGACAACTCTCATATTAATATTTTCACTTCTGTTTAACTGTAGCTGATCTAATGCTTTCCCTCCAAATATATTCTGAACCAGAACCATCAGACATAAATTAATAAATTGCCGGTTAACTGAACTAAGACACGTCTATATATTTTACTCCTACGATATTTTAGTAACCTAAGGATAAGAAACGGCAGCCGGTGACCTTTTGGAAAAATTTTTTAAATAGAATCATACGCTAAGTAATACATAAAATAATTTTCACAATTCAACAGTGGGTATTTTGAAACGGTACGACACAATCACACAAATAGTGATACTATGTAACAAAAGCAAAAGAATTTTTAAATTCTCTAGATATACTACCGGAGATGCCATCACGGATTTCATGATATTTACTTAACTCTGTTAAATAAATTAACCAAGCCACAATTAATCCACCACTTCACGGATTGTTGTATTGCGGCAATAATTTTTAATCACCAACTTACGGATTTTTGAATTTGTAGATACCATGTACCATTTTATTGAAATAAGGGTTCGTTTAATTTAAGAAGAAATTAACTGTAGAACAGCCCAAACTGTGGTGCGCGTACCACTGGTGGTACTCTATAAACTAGAAGAGACGAATAATTTTAATAAAATTTACTAACAAATGTTATCTTTTACGTTGTGCATGGCAACTCTGTGAATTTGAGACCACAAGTGCGTAATTCATTGTTGGCAACACTGAAGTCACGGCAAATTGTCACCGCCCTTGATTCATGTCCATTCACTTCATCAGTTTTTTCGTTAGGAAATATGATCCTGAGTACATTAATATGGGATTTACATTCACGAATATAAATGATGAGCCAAGGCCCCAATGTGCAATCTGTTCGGAAATTCTTTCTAACCAGTGTATGAAACCTTCGCTATTAAAACGCCACTTCCATACAAAACATTCAGTGTTGGAAAATAAACCTAAGGATTACTAGAAAAATAAACCTAGGGAGACATGTAGTCCCTAAAGTAATTAAAATTTATCCATTGTCATCGACCTAGAGTCACAACATAATTAAAATTTAACATTTGGAATGATGTAAACCCATATATAGAGGTCTCACCGATAACTTTATTGTTAGCTTCAATTACACAAGGTACTGAGGATGATCTGTTCAAATCGAAAACGTTATGCTAGTACTTAAATTTTGACGACACTTTTTTAAAAAGTTTTAACTATTTGTTTTTTATACCACAATACAAGTGTGAAGTGTTTTAACTTTTGTGTTTTTTTAAACGATGGTATACAGCCAACTACGGGGTTTTTCCCATTAATTTTAAATAAATTATATATTTTAAATTACCCCAGTATATAGTTGTTCTTCTTTTTTGAGTACCGTGTCCAAGTTTTAGGTGTGGGTAGCTCCCATTAAGATTTGCCGATATCGTTCTCGAACTTGCGCGGCATGTAATAATTCATCTGCTGATAAGCGGATCCATGGGGCCATGAGTATTTCTTTCTACCAATTCCTCTTTTTCCGTCGATCTTTCCGTTGAGAGTCAACTGCATTATCCTGTATCTGCTTTCTCTCATTATATACCCCAGATATTCGAGTTTTCTCTTTTTATCATCTTTATTAAGTCACCTTTACCTTGACCTACTCTGTTCAAGACTTCTCTGTTTGAAATGTGTTGAACCCATGATATTCTAAGCATTCAACGATATAACCACATCTCGAAGGCTTATAATTTGTTTATCATGCTAACCTTCATAATCCAGGTTTCGCATCCACACAGTAATACAGGATACAGATAACATTTTAGGAACTTAACTAGCGGACCAACTCGACATCGAGTTTTTTAAATGAAATTTTTATTTTGCGAGAAAAAGTAAGAGATCAATGCAAACAATATAAGCAAGAATATACATAACATTCATCAATAATAATACACGTTTTATTTCGTCGAAAACAATGTTTTTTGTTACAATTTCTCCATTTTCTGAAAACTTTTGCTTAGCACCGAGAGTTATGTAAACTTTTACTTTTTAATAAAAACGAAACCGGAAGTCGACTTCAAAACCGGAATGCAATTTTTAGTTCATCAAATGTCGACATGGATATCATTTAGCAGTAACTTTGCATGCTGATCACGAATCCGGTGTCAGATTTGCTCTATCTTGACGTTTAATGCGCGTTTCGGGTCACTTCCGGTGTCGGATCGCAACCGGAAGTACATATTTAGATTCGTCTCGACGAGACCTTTCGATCCATATATACATTGTGGGGTCTAAAACTTAAAGTAAATTTTAACTTCCGGTCATCTCAAAACCGGAAGTGAATTTTTGTACGAAAAGTATATCTTCACAATCTCATACGTAATACTAATAATATTCCGAAAAAATATTTTAATTATCTAATATGGTTTTTGAGTAAAGTGGTGGACAAGAAAAGGGCTTAGCATTTTAGTGTCTCGTTTATCCAACATCCTAGGTATTTTAAATGGTTACCTTTTGTTATCGGTTCATTATTGACAATTACTTGTATAGCGCCGAGGTCTTGTTGACTAACAACAAGTAACTTTGTCTTTGTTGTATTTACGCTTGTCATCGCGGTGTCATCTGCATATCTGATGTTGTCAATAGTTTCTCCCCCGATTCGAACTCCACATTGTCCTTCCAAGGCTTCGGTAAAAATTATTTCTGAGTAAACGTTAAACAAAGTTGGGGAAAACACACAGCGCTGTCGTAACACCTCTTTGAATACAAATTTTGGCTGTTTCTTTGCTGTATACCAGAATAGAAGCTTCTTAATTCCAATATAGATGTTGTAAAAGTCTCAGATCTTTATCGTGTATTCCAATCCTTTCTAGATATTCAAACAGCCTACCGTGTTGAACCTTATCAAACGCCTTCTCAAAATCTATAAAACATACGTAAATATAGTTGTTAGGGACTCGTAAACACTTTAGAAGATATGAAGACGGTACTAGATTTTTGTTTCAATACAGAGCGGCGGCAAGCCGCTTATGACCCGCAAGACCTTTTTAGATCTCGTCAGAGTGGGCATCTATTCTATTCCCGTCTTAGGCAATAGTTATAAAATAACTATATATGGACGTAACTACGCCATCTAATAACAAAAAAAAGAAATCAAACGATTTCTACCTGGCGTAATCGAATTTAAATTTTGACCTCTGTGCTTTCTAAAACTTGCAAAGCAAACAGCTTTGCATGTGGAATGCAATCTTAAATTCCCTTGTCGAGTTATTTGTCAAGCTGTTTGCTTTGCAAGTTGTAGAAAGCACAGTGGTCAAAATTTGAATTCGATTTCGCCAGGTAGAAATCGTTTTGATTTCTCTTTTTGTTATTATATGGCGTAGTTACGTCCGTATATAGTTATTTTATAAGAATTGTTTAAGACGGGAATAGATTTTGTTTCGATCCATAGGGGTGGCTATACCGATCTGACGAGATCTAAAGAGGTCGAAATACGTATAAGCGGCTTGCCGCCGCTCTGTATTGAAGCAAAAATCTAGTACCGTCTTTATATTTTATTTCTTTACTCCGTTTGGAGTACCAGAAATTGAATTCACTACGAATTTTGACCATGATAAATGGCATGTGGAATTCAATCTTCGATTCCCTTGTTGAGTTATTTGTCAAGCTGTTGGTTTTGCTAGTTTTAGAAAGGAGTGGAATCATGGACGTTAAATCTAGATACCATGAGACGACTTAACGCCTTTGAGATGTGGACCTATAGAAGAATTATGAGGGTTTCCTGGGTAGATAGAGTTACAAACAATGAAATACTGAGAAGTATAGGCAAAGAGAAGGAAATTGAACTTACAATTAAAGAAAGAAAGCTACAGTATCTCGGACATGTGATGCGGGGCGATAAGTATGGCATCCTGCGACTCATAATGCAAGGAAAAATAAATGGCAGAAGAAGCATCGGAAGAAGACGAATTTCATGGCTGAAGAACCTGAGAGAATGGTTTGGATGCAGCTCAAAACAACTATTTAGAGCTACTGCCTCAAAAATTAAGATAGCTATGATGATTGCCAACCTCCGTAGCGGAGATGGCACCTGAAGAAGAAGAAGAAAGCACAGTGGTCAAAATTTGAATTCGATTTCGTCAGGTAGAAATCGTTTGATTTCTCTTTTTGACTTTAGGAGATATTTAACCCCATTTTCGGAATTAACGAATATATCGTATATAACAAGTAAGGGGTTAAAGGGGGATATTAGAGATAGAAGACACAACAGATGTAATCTATGCGGTATGGAAGTTTTACTTAGTAAATACCCCCTGGATATGTTTTCGTTGCTTAATGATGATTTATTATTCTGGGTAATTTTTACGGACTAAAACTATTTCCGTGCGTCACTTATTAAACCATGTCTATATGTCTGTCTAGCCAGAAATTAACATACTTTTTTATTTTCAGATTACTGACTCCTTAGCAGGCGTTTAGGAATGGCTACTACTCAAGGCGAAATCAGGGTGGGTCCTGGAAACCAGGTAAAAGATATTTATGTACGTTGATACTAAAAATCACGGTAACAAAATCTAAATTTTTTGCATCTTGGATTATCGTATTTAGAAAAAGAAAGTAGCGGGTTAAAGTACATTAAAAAATTCTTATTTTATGTAAAGATGGCATTTTTAATAGTTAGGAGCAAAAGTGGTGAAAATACCTATAAAACTTGTTCAGTGCTTATTGAACGTTTGCAAAAATATATTAAGTTGTTCGCTACTTTTCGATTCATTTAGATCTTCTGTACACGTTACACTGTGTGATTAAACATTACAAACAATATATTTATTTTTTAATTTGATATCTTTATGGTCAACCTCATCTTTTCAGCAATATCTTAAGTTGCTAAGGTATACCACTTACTTCATCACTATAAGTCTTGCTTCTTCATTTTAGATAAAGTGCCTGTTTTACCTTGATATACGCGGCCTCCATGCTTAAGTTGTCTTTTGGGGATGGTCGACGGTCCGATGCTCTGATTTATTTGGAGCAAATCTAACCACTTGTCCTTCAGAAATTCTGTTATTGTGTTCGTTCCATTTTTTTCCTTTTTAATACTAGTTATATTGTGTCTTCTGCTTTCGCGTCTTTTTCTCTCTAGAAATATATTCTCAGCTATAAAGTAGGTTCATTTTTGTTGCTTCAAGTAGTCTTGGTTTTTGATAGTTTTGGTCTACTTCCCCATTATATGTCATGACAGGTCTTACAGCTGTCTTGTAGATTCTTGATTTGGCTTCTATTATTTGCATTATACAGCGTGAGTCATGAGGATCTCTACATACTACTACTTCGTATGGAAGCCTTTATGGGGAATATCAAATGGCCATTAAAAAGTCATATCAGGCTACATCACAGATCGTTTTCGGAATAATTATTCCATCATCAGTGCTATCTGGATTTACAGGTTTAAAGCCACTAAATATGTGGTTTAAATGTACTTAGCCTAACTTTGAATTTCATCTTTAATATTTTAAAACTATGATCTTTATGTTATAAAAGGAATTGATCACATGGCAACGTAGGACTCCACTGGGGCTGCTAATTCTTAGACGAAGTGTTTGTGAGGACTTGTTGATAGCAACTGGTCAGTTGGTCAGGGTTGGTCACTATGTATATCTGTAATTTTTGTGGTTTCTGTCAAGTTTGTAGTGTTGTCTAACTTCACAGAATATTGGCTATTTCAGGGAGATTCTTAGTAATAATTCGTTTGGAATAAGATCAAACTCTTATTCTTACTTACAGGGTTGGAATACTTAAAAGTGTCCACCCTGATATTTGGCAATATTAATTGGATTTTGTGAAGATGCCGAAAACAGGTCGATTTGGATTCCAAAGGGGTCATTTTTTAACGATATAAATATGTCATTTGTCAATCCACCTCTTCCAGTACTACAAATCATTAATTTTAAATATAGCCCAGTCCTCAGAGATTTGACTCCTAAAAATGATTTGACCCTAAAAAAGATGAAAAAAAGTTTAGAACTTTTACGTAGGAGGGAAAAATGAAAAAATCGATTTACCAAAAATCTGTACGCCGTAGAAAAAAATGTTTATTAGCACTGTTTGTGCAGATTGAACCATTTTCTCAGAAACAACGCTTGAAACGACCGGCCATTTTAAATGTAAGTTACGTCAATTTTAAATAAAATTTGTATCAACTTAACGGTATAAAATCGATATCTTTTGATCAGAGCATCCTATCGACAAAAATCAAAATACATTTTAAATAATAGTACAGTTTTAAAGGTGAAGAGTACTCACGCAAGTTTTGTATTTTGTGAAAAATAAAGTCGGTTTTTATAAAGGTGTTAAATAAATAAAAGTGGCGCGATTTTTGTCCTTTTTTTATTCTCGTATAATCAATAAAATGTATCACTTTTTTGGCCGGTCTCAATGGAATTTCCATTGCTAGAGTCCAATCTTTAAAACTTACAACACGAAACTTCGATTTTAAGTTTTGGTAACAAATATGAGGCATTTGAATTTTGTCTAAAGACGCAGAATTTAAACTTTTAAAGTACAAACGGTAAATTCTAAATTAAAATGGGCTATGGCTTCGAAGTTAAAGTGCAGAGACTTAGATGGGCTGGACACATTTCTAGGATGTCAGATCTCGGATGTTAGAAGATAAAGGCAAGTTGCCAGGAATCGACAGGAGTGGCGACTTCTTTGCGAGCAGGCCAAGATCCACAACGGATTGTCGAGCCACTTATGATGATGATGAAGTACAAACGGTCACACATCACGGGAAAGACCACCACAAAGACAATATTGAGTGGAATTTGTAGCTGAAGTTGTGTAGTTTCGAAAAACGTAAAACGTACTTATACAATCAAAAAGGAGCAGTTTTAAACGTTTTAGATCTTTTGTAATGTAAAAGTTTAAATTCAGCATTTTTTCGCGTAAAAATCGGGCAACTTTTATTAATTTAACACATTTATAACAACTGACTTCATTGGCGGCAAAATAAAAAATTAAATGCAAAAGCTGCACTCTACTTTAAAACGAATTTTGATTTTTGTCGATAAGGCACTCTTAACAAAAGATATCGAATTTTTCTGTCGAGTGGATACAAATTTAATTTAAAATTGATTTCGCCTGCCTAACTGACATTCAAAATCAACGGTCGCTTCATGCGTTGTTTCTGAGAGAACGGTTCATTCAACACAAAAAGTGCTAATAAATATTTTTGTTTAAAAATATCTCAATACATTTTTTGAGACATTTTTTTCTGCAGCGTGTAGATTTTTGATAAGTTTGTAAGCATAAGTTTTTTAGAGGTTCAGTGGTTTTTTGGTCTCTGACGACTGGAGTAATAGGGAATATACCATGTGTGACACATCATTAGGCATCTATAAATCAAAAAGATCGGGACACTTAACAGACACTCAAGGAAATCCAATAGTTGATATTGAAGAAACAAAAACAACGTGGATGAACTATGTGACAACTACATTTGAAGACGATAGGAATGTCACCATCACACAAAATAAAAATGACGATACCGGACCACCTATTCTCGAAGCGGAAGTAGAATCTGCTATAAACAACATTAAGGAGGGAAAAGCCGCAGGACCAGACGAATTCTACTCAGAATTTTTGAAAATTATGGATAAAGACGAAGTAAAAAGACTTACCTTGAGCTTCAACAATATATACCAAAGTGGAAAAATACCCCAACAGTGGCTAATATCAACTTTTATAACAAAACTCAATGCCAAAAAATATTAAAATTATCGAATAATAAGCCTTATGAGCCTTCTCCTGAAAACTTTTTTAAAAATTATACATAAAAGAATATATAAAAAGTGTGAAGAACACATGACAAACACACAATTCGGCTTCAGGGATGCATTGGGTACTCGAGAGGCACTTTTTGCAATACACGTTCTCTTTCAAAGATGTAAAGACGTGAATTGTGATATATATGTGTGCTTTGTTGATTACCAGAAAGCGTTCGATAGAATAAAACATGACGAACTGATGAAAATATTAAATTCAATTGGTCTAGACAGCAGAGATCGCCGTATAATAAACAATATCTATTACGAACAAACTGCAGCTGTTAGAGTTAGGGATCAGTTAACAGACGATATAAAGATAAAAAGAGGTGTACGACAGGGATGTATATTGTCCTCATTATTGTTCAATACATATTCAGAGCACATTATGAACCTAGCGCTAACGGACATAGACGAGGAAATACTTATAAACGGAGAACGATTGAATAACATAAGATACGCTGATGATACTGTCATTTTTGCAGAGTCTTGAAGGTCTTGATTTAAACATCAAAAAAACCAAATACATGGTTATAAGCAAAAATAGGATACCGCCTGGTCAATTACTAGTTAACCAACAACCTTTAACACAAATCACCAACTTTTGTTATCTGGGTGCAAACTTAAATGAACAGTGGGACCAATCGACGGAAATTAAGATAAGGATCGAGAAGGCAAGATCAGCTTTCGTCAAAATGAAAAAAAAATATTTAACAGCCACGACAAAAAATTGGAAATAAAAGTTCGTTTACTAAAATTTTTTTACGTATTTTCCGTTCTTTTATGTGGCGTGGAGTTATGGACCTTAACTGAAGCATCACTAAAGAGACTCGAAGCATTTGAGATGTGGTGCTATAGATGCATGTTGAGGATTTCCTAGATAGACAGAGTTACCAACGAAGAAGTACTACATAGAATGAGTAAAGAGCGCGAACTAGTCGTAACCATACAACGTCGCAAACTAGAATACCTGGACCATATATTTCGCAATGAACAACGATATGACCTACTTCGGACCATACTTCAAGGTAAAGTGCATGGGAAAAGAGGTCCAGGAAGGAGAAGAATATCCTGGCTGCATAACCTGCAAAAATGGTTTAACTTAACCACTACCGGATTTTTCAGGACAGCAGTCAACAAAGTCAGAATAGCCATGTTAGTGTCCAACATCCGTAACGGATAGGCAACATAATAAGAAGACACATTATTAGAAAGACATTTCTCTGAAAAATTTAGGCATCATCCATGATTTTTCTTTTTATATTAACTCTGTCTTTGTGAAAAAATATCAGTTTATTAAAAGTGCTACACCCCTTAAAAATCAAATGTAACGCTTATGTTTTGTTAGTATTATCGGTGGTATTATCCACAAATTTTCCCGGCACGTCAAAAATTACATTGAAAAAATTTAGTTATTTGAACTATTGTTGATAGCGTTTAACAACGATATTAAGTAATTTTTTAATTGTGTTCAAATGGATAATTCTATCGTAGAACTCTATGAAGTTGTTTCCATATTTTTTGAAAATTGAAAGTGGCTAAAGAGAACAGCGAAATTATTTAATCCACTACATCAAGATAAGCAACTGCATCACTCATATCTAAGTACTAGTTAAAAAAATTTCGGGATCAGTAGCTGATAAAAAAAAGATAATGTGCCACACATGGTGTATGTCTCATTTTTTAAATTAATGGTACTAGGGGGAGAGAGTTGACAA